TATGCCTCCTGCTGGTGATGGAAAATTATTGTGCTCAGTATTTGGAGAATAAGTGCTGAATTGGAGTTCTGTTTGGAAACTATATAGTTAATTAGTAGGATTGTATTACGTCTCCATGTGGAGAATTGTATTATACACCAGAACTTTGTAAGAAAATAGAAAATATGGAAATAGGTCTGAAGATCAAATCCAAGTAGCTGTCTTGGTGTCAAAGGAATAACAGCAAGAAGATTTTGAGAATCTTTAGAAAATCTTACCTTTACTAGAACTAACAAGGTTTCTTTTTAATCTAGTATTTGATCCTTTGAGTGCACAAAGATCCTTCTCATGTTATTTTAATTAATTTATTTTAGAATGATGAACTGCTTTTCTAAATGGATGACAAATCTATAAATCTATAAATAAAGCTAAGCAGCATTTATCTGAATTCTTAAACTCCAGTTAGGTTGAAACAGTAAGTAGATACTTCTAATTTACTAATGGCTGCTCTGGAGGGCAAGTTGGGGGTGTCAGCACTCAGGATTGAGAGCCCTCAGGACAGTGCTTCTTACAGACATGACTGTAAGAAAAAATTGTCCTTTAAGAAACCAGAGCTGGAGTAACTTATGAGAGCACAGGCTGCAGGGTTGCTACCTATGGTCTTGAACCAAAGCCAAGCCTAGGGTTGGTGGCTCTGGTGCTTCCTGTCCCCAGGCCAGGCCTCCTGGAATTAGCCATCCCTCAGAGCAGTCAATGGAATCCCTGAAGGAGAGGACAGCTTAGGAACGTGGGGGCCCAGGGCCTGCACAGGCCAAGCCGTGGTTCCGGGTTCTTTCCCGGCAGGGGCTAAGGGTTCCTCGCCTCCTCAGGCAGGGCACTTCTGATCTCAGGGCAACAGAGCTACCATGCCAGCCCTTCGTTATGACCTTCTTAATTTTATGTTGTGGCTGAACAGTAAGAATCTCCTGCCTTGGCTTCAGTTGGTGCTGAGTTACTAGAGGGAGACACTTTTGAAACAGGAGAAGAGATTCCTCATAAGGCAGGTGGCGTCCTGTTCAGCCATGCTGAGTGCATGTATTGGTCAAGGTAAAGAAGATTATTACTGCGTTTGGACAGCTAACCAGTTCTAAAATAAATGGTGATAAAATAAGAGGTATACATTTTTATTTATGCAACTGAAAGAAGGCCTTTGGAGGAAGGTAAACACTGACTTTCAATTTGGAGTAATTTGGTGAAATCAATTATAAGCAAGTTAAACATAAAAGAGATGCATAGTTATGGGAGCAGTACAAGTTGTCTTAACTTGGAAAAATAGCATTAATAAAGTGAAGTTTTGGTTGCTGTTGCTGTTCAAAGCTTTGTCAGTTATTATTAAAAACAGTTTATTAAAAAGGTGTCAAAAATACCTTAGTCTTGGGAAGACAAACGCTCCAATGAAAAACCTACAGAATAAGGTAGCTAGCTGTACTCCGTTACAGAGGATGTGCCTCTGTTTGAAGAGCTGTTGGATGACAGTCCTCTACTTGAAGGTGTCTCCCATTGGGTTGTCTGCCCAGCCCATGTCTGGTTTTAGCTGAAGAACCATGAGGAAGAAGAGCAAGGTAGGGGTGGAGGAAGAAATTATGCTGTTTTGAACTAATGTGTGAACTGAAAATCAGTTATCCTTCAATCGCCACATGTCTCTGGATTTTGCAGTGGAGTTCTCGAAACAATATGTGTACAAAAATCAAAGTGCATGCAAAAATGCAAATATGAATTAAGAGCACAGTAAAATGTATGCATTAGGGAAAATGTGCACAAACACATGTATGTATTTTCAAAGCTGATTAAAAAGAAATCTCATCATTTTGAATGAACTGAAGACTAAATATGAGAAACTAAAATTAAGGGATTCTTTTAGCCCTAGTAATGGGCCTTGCGGTTGCCCAGGAGACAAAGATCACCGAGGCAGTCTTCTTCAATATGATGGGATGTGCTGTATTTTATTTAAATCATAGCAATTATTTCTAAATGTGTATTTATACATGCAAATTAGCATATTCAAAATGGTGTCATTTTTTGAGTTTCCTCTTTTTGACAACCAGAAGGGGCCATCCTAGTACAGAAAATCAAACAACAAGCCAGAGTAGCAGGTCCAAATCAATACTGTTATTCAGCTCAGCTTGTTGATTTCAGCAGAGTTTGCAGAGATGAGTATCAGTTGGTAAAATTAAATGTTGGGATAGCTGATGACATTACAAAAAAAGATACTGAAAAAAGTGGTTATGCTGTATAAATGATCCATGTGAGTCACAGTTTCTGGCTTGCTTACACAGGTTGTATGTTTTCAAGCCTGATTCAAGGTATTCGTTTTGACCTATAAAACCTTACGCAGCTCAGAACTGCAATACGTAATTGAGCAGCTACCCCAGTGTGGTGCTACTGATACGGTGCAATCATAATCGAAAGCCCTCCTCCTCCAGGTGTCTTCTGTGAGGAAGGCTTGGAAAGCCACCACAAGGAGAGAGTCTGCTCAGTGCTGACCCCCCAATTGTGGAATGATTTTCCCAGTGCAGCCTGTCTGACAGCAGTTTTGTTACCCTTTTGGCACCAGGTTATGACCTCCCTCTCTTGAGTATTTGGCAACATAGGTTGAGGTTTCTATACAGGTCTTGAACTGTTGATGGTTTAAAAAGGTATTCAGATATATGTGTGTGCCCATGTAGTATATTATATGTTCTGTATGTATATGGTTTGTATAACTTTTAAAAGGCTTTAAAAGGTGTAAACCACCCAGAAAGCTTGGCTGTTGGCTGGTATAGCAATGAAATGAAATAGTAAATGGGGAGCATTTTTTTGGAAAAGATAAAGGGAACCGTCTAAATATAATGATAAAGTTGCATACATAAATATAATAACTACTATGGAGCTGCCCTTCCCACTGACCTTTTCTCAACACAATGGGCAGCAGGTGAGGCAGTGGCTGAGGTGAAAGGAATACACAAAAAGCCAAAACCACAGTGCCAGGCAAAAGTGTGTTTATTTTTATTGTCTTTGAAAGAGGACTAAAATGAATGACATTTAATAGTAAATATTTATCTTCTGATACTTCTGCAGCAAGAGATGATAGCTGGGGGAACTATTTAGGTAGCATAATAATAATCTTTTAGAACTTAATACTCTGACATTGGAATTAAATTGTTGATCAATGGTTTGAATCTCTTTTGTCGTCTTGAATGGGGCGCATTCCATTCTTTAGTGCCATTTTCGTACCACTTCCACAGCGAAGTGGAACAGGCAGCTTGTAGAACTAATCCATCAAACCATGAGAATAGTCATAAAACCCCCTCAGTGTTCTTCTTCCACTCCATGGGGGAGAAGACAGAGTCTTTGAGTATTTGCCTTTTTCTTTAGAGCAAACATGGGAGCTCCAGAAGGCCAACAGTGTACTCATTATATGCATTTTGGTGCTGAACTTTGGATCTCTAAACCAGAATCTGGACCAGCTTCACCAGTTGGGTTGTTAAATGTGAGGTATTTTTACCCCAACAGCTTCTTCAGTGAGTTGCAACATATTCGCAGAAAATTTTTTTCTGCTCCTCAGTTGTTGGATCTGAAGGTATTCATCCATTTGATTCGGAAGATAATCATGTGCAATAGAGTTGCGTTGTGAATTGTGTGTGAATGTGAATAAGCATAAATACCAGCCATCTAACAGTTCAAATGCAAATCAACATACAGTTAAACAAACCAAAAAAATGTTCCGTGATTCCTAAATCTCCTTTGTACAAAGTCATTGTGCAATCAATTTTAAATGGAATTAAGATTGCATGCTCCTTAATATGATGACAAGGAAATATGATTCACAGTGCCTCGGTAAGTGTGTATGGATTTATATTAACCTACAATTATGTCAATTTTACTGCATTATATTCTTTGTTTCTCAGTTTACAAGGACATAACTTAATAGCTAGACCAAAAGTTACATAAGCTTAATGCAGTATTGATTATGTCTGTACTACACAAGCATTCATGGGTGTGCAGCATCAATGAGGCGATACCCCTTGTGATCAGGGTGATTTACTGTACATTATATTAGTATACAGTTCAGAGATGCACTTTCATCACTTTGGAGAAAATCTCCATAATCAGTCTTCCCTTACAGCCTCCAGATGTTTCAGACTTCTGTTCTCATCAACCCCAGCCCATATGGCCAGTGACAAAGAATGCTAGGAGTTTAGTCCAAAATACCTGCAGGGCACCTACTTGAGGGAGACTGATTTATATCATGTGTAAGAGGGGGCAAAAGGAACTGTTAATGTCCTGGAATTGAACAAGATGGCATTGCAATATATTGCAATTGGCATTGAATAATAGCCCATCATTTAATGAGTTTCCTGAGATTTCCATTCTCCTGAGGAAGCTTTTCACTCCCTTCAGACTGACACCAGTCACAGGTGTGGCCAACACATGGGCGAGCATCTAAAGGTTGAAACTAGCCTAGTCATTGCTTCAAACTTGACAAGAGCTAAAATTAAGATGTGTTTCATTCTAAGCAAGCTGTTCAAAAGCATAACACCTGCAGGTGCTACACCAGTTTATCTGCATCTTCTGTGGCATTCTGCCCTGTGAGGGTGGTATCACATGGGAACCAAAATACCACTGCAGGAACTAGTGGATCCGGAAAAGTACTGGAAATGACTGGCAATGCTCAATTCCCAAACAGCCAAGTCAGCACAGCCCTCAGAATGGAGCTGGTCTGACAGGTCTCCCTCTAGAAATGGCATTTCTGCTCGTTTCTGGAGTTACTTTAGGAACTGCTAATACCCCTTGTGCTAGCAGAAGTTTGCCCTGGTGCAGCAGAACTAGTGGAGGTGCAAAGGCAGTATTGACTGCTGCTTAAAAGGTTGTAAGCAGATGGAAAAAGAAACAGTGGGCATCATGTATGTCTCTCGAGGTTATCTTTCAAAATTTCATCTCATTTCAAAGATCAATGTACATAACTTCTGCCAAAATGATCTTTGCACTATTTTCTTCCCCAGAAATATCGACAGTATATGTCAGGACTTCTTGCTCCTCCATATGGTGTTATGGAGACTGGCTCCAACAATGACAGTAAGTATGCTAAGATGGGAATCCTATATAGGCTTGCAGTATGGCATATGTCTGTCTGGAGAAATTTCGGGGCCACGTTTAAGGGTGGAGCCCTCTTGGGAAAAGAACCACAGGGTGATGCAGTATGTGCTGGAATGCAGGGCACTCACTGTTTTTAAATGACCATCACCTGCCTGTTTATATCGTTCCTTTGGAAGGCTAAACTACACATTACTCTGCTCACACAGCATGCGGCTCTGGGTTGTCCTTTCATTTACTTCAATGTGTGCTTGTGGGACCCAGATTCATCTCATCTCAGGAGTGGACCACTGCACTCCAGGAGAGGAGGGTTGCACCTTCTCCCTGCCCCCCACTATTTTATCAAAAATTCCCCCACCATCACCACGAGCAGGGAGAAGCTTCTTCAGTGTCATTTCCTTCCCCATTGTTTCCTTTGCGAAGCCTCCTTCAAAGATGCGGGAAATGGTTCAGAGGTCCCTATTCTGTGTGAGGACAGGGATACTGGCACACAGAAATACGCAGTTGGTTGCTCATCTGTCTCAGGAGACCAGATGCTTCCAGACAGCAGGGTCCTAGAGCTAGCAGGCAGAGGGTCTCACCAACCTTTTATTTCATGGACTTCCTGCTGAAAGGGAACGATGGAAGCAGGGTGGGAAAGTGCAGGCTGAGGACCAGTGGGAGATGTGCCGTCTCAACTCCCATAAAATTCTGTGAGGGAGGCAGGACAGCGTCGCTCTAAAGTTTCACCTGGAAATGTTATTTAAATCCAAATAGTGTCCATCTTGACTTGCGATGCTGTGTGTAATGTGATTGTTCTGGAGTCCCTCGGAGTCCACCCAAGCCCACACCCACTGCCCCAGTGACTCCGTCTAGCCACCTCATCCTCTGCCGCCCCCGTCTTCTTTTGCCGTCCATTGTTCCCAGCGTCAGGGTCTTCTCCAGTGATTTGACCTTGCTAACAGGTTTTATTTCATGAATGCTTCTGTTGAAGCTGAGCGCACATTCATGGCATCATCCGTTCTGCCATTCAAGACTGAAAGTGCTCATATAGCCATTAAACAGTGGAATATCAGCAAGGTAATCTTCCCCAGGATTTTTTTTTTTCATTTTGTGAATACTTGTGTCTCTCCCCTATCCCCATTTGATTATTTGAAGTCTGTGTGTATCCTACTCCAGCTTTTTTTTTTTTAATTGGGCATCTGTTTCAGCAGAGCTAGTACATTCTTTAGCCTTCCATTAAGTGGTTTTGGGGAGATACTATTCAATTAGCAGTTTGATTTTAGTTGATACATATCTTGGGTTGTCTCGCCCCAGAGAATGTGAAACTTAAGAATATGTAGAGTTGATATTATTGGAGGGAGCAACCTTGGTAGAACATCTGTAACATGGAAGTAAAACTGATTGTGATTAAAGGTTTGGGTATAAGGGAAAATAAACTCTTGGCTTGAATGGGAAGCTTTATTCCTCAGGAAGCGTTATTCTGATGTTTTCCCTACTCTCTTACAGGAATGCCTGATAAGGACAATATGTCTAGTAGTTGCTCCATCTCCAAAAACAGCAATAAGGTAAATATTTGTTAAGGGGGTGGGATGGAGGGGCAGTAGACATAGGGGTGAATGCAGTGAATGATTTTGCAAATGCATTTCTAAGGTTGCAATTCTATACTGCAGAGGTTCCATTTCAGAGGAGCTTTTGGGGGACAAATTCCAGTAGTAGGTGAGGCCAAAGACAAAAGGGATGGAACCAGAAATGCACAAAAATCAGCACATTCCAGCTTATAATGCTTATAGCCAATAACAAAGTCTTAGGAGAGACATTTTATAAGTTCAGGAGGCGGGAGGAAAAGAAAACTGTGGAAGCACGAAGCACTGGTTAAAAGGGAAGAATGTGGCTGGGGAAAGGGAGTGTGAATGTGTGGAACAACTTGGAAGACTGGGTTGGCATTCCCGGCAGGCCTAGGGTTATAACAATTAATAAATGTTTTCGATGCTTGTGAAACTGCATAATACTTGGTTAGACCAGGCTTGTACACATAACTGTCTGTTATGGCAGAATAAATGAATTGCATCAGGGGAAATGTCGATATCACTGTGACTAATGTGGAAAATAAAGATGCTGGTGCTCGTTGGACCATTTCTGTCAGCAAAATTCTGCAAGTTACCAAGTTGCAAACCATTGGCTAGGAAGGAAAGTAAGTGAGCAAAGTTGAAGCTGATTTATATAGGTAAGATAGGAAATAAGCCCAGACTTGGTGTTAGTACATCACACTGATACAACAAGATGCTTGCAGCTAGAAAAGAAATTATTGAATTACTGTTAATTAGTTTTATTGGAACATTCAGAAACTAGTAAGTGTAAATGCTATATGCAGGGCATTGAATCTCAGGCCTGCAGGTCAAATCCAGTCCATCTTGAATCTCAGTTTGGTATTTGAGGGTTCTTCAGCTGACTCTACCATTTCCAGTAGCTCTGTTCCATTTTCCACATACCAAGCAGTTGTGGTTTCCTGACTTTTGTGCTCCCCACCCCAAAAACGGTGAAAGTCTTGTGCTAAGGTTTAGTTACTGGCACTAAGATCTTTAAGCTAAAATAGGCTGCTGTTTGGGGCAATTTTTGCCCTTGGGCGTGTTCCTGCTTGCCTTCATTCACATCCACTACTGGAACTGAATTTCTTCAGAAGTGAAATTGGCCCCTTGTTCAACCATCCCCTTTATTCCATTGCACCCTTCTCTACCTTTAACTCTGCATTTACGTTCCTTGGAATCACCTGGCTGCTTTTGTTTTGAGGCTGCTTATTCACCACTTCGAAGAACCTACCTGGATTAGGGTCATTTTAAGGTTATATTCCAAGCTGTTGATGCAGCATCTAATCTGGCAAGCAGCACACTATTATATGTAAATCCTCAGCCAGAGCTAACTGCATGGTAGAAGTTTCAGGTGTTACCAGAATGATCTGGGAGCAATTGAAAGAGGGCAGCATTTTACTGTGTCACTTCAGGGGAAATTAAATGAGATTAGAGGAACAAAGAAAAGAAACAGTGTTAATTCTAGCTAAATATCTGATTAGATCAAATGGTAGTGGACTAGGGTTTTGGGGATTCCTGTTTTTAGACTGAAAGAAATCTATAATCATATAGCTGACCACATACAACATATAGCTAATGATGCCTTTTTCTCTGTTAATGATGAGACAGAGATAGGAAAATGGTCATACTAATCTGTGATTTTACTTCAATTTTTATTCTCTCTCTCTCTCTCTCTCCGGCTAGTGGGGAGTTGCATGGTGCATCTATTTTCTACTTTTATTATTAAAATTAATAGCTTGATCAGATCATGAGAAATAATACCTGTGGGACTATTCCTCAAGTGAGAATAACTACTGAATTAAAAGAATAACAAAAATAATTATGTTCTTATTCCCGTCGACTACTTCCTGTCTGTCCTGCTTCCTTATGAGACTGATCTTTTAAACTCATATTTTTAACCTTTAATAACCTCACAGGCATTGCTGCATTTTCTTGGTTTTCCTCTACTCTTGCAATGTGGTATTTCCTGACCCATCCTTATCCTGCATAAAAATAAACACTTTGGGATGGAATTATCCTGTGACACTTTCCATTGTTGTGGGTAAAACAGGATGACAGATCAGCATCCACAAACATTTTTTTAACCCAGGATGCAACTTGCTTTAAAAAAATAAAAAAGGCTGGCTTAAATTTAAGGAAGGAAACCTAAGTAAGTGTATTTGAAAATAAAACCTGTTGAAGTCACTGTGACTTTGTTCTGAATAAGTGTGCATAGGATTATGGGATAAGTATACTTTTTATTACACCCTCTGAGAAAAGGATATGGTTTTTTATCATATGAATTACCACTCAATATAAAGAGGCATTAATCATTTTGTGGCAACAAAAAAGGAAATATCTGAAGAATTTTTTGAACGATTCTTCAGAAATCAACACAATGTAAAATAAGTTAATACGTCTTAAAGGATATGTAGCAAAAATGTCTCCTCTAGATCAGATAACATTAGAATGGGTACGTCCGACATTAGATAAGGTGGGTTATTTTTTAATTTATTTATTATTTGATTTCTAGCCTGCCCATTAGCCACACGGCTCATGATGCTATGAAACCCCTAGGGGAAAAAACAAGCCCAGAGCCAGCCAGATGGACTGCCATGGTTGAAAACTTTAGGCAAATCACTATTCTTCTGTCCCTTAGCACACAAAGCCACACTTTTGTCAGTGGGAGTTCTAAATAGAAGATTGGATGAGAACAGCTATCTTCCAAGCTCTTCCCTTATGTTCACTTGGCCAGCTGTTTGAGAACTATTGTTGAGAGATTCATCGCCATCTCTCTTCCATTTGGCACATACGTGATGTGGAAAAAGTGTAGATGCATTAATTAGGGAACAAACAATGTTCCCATTCATCCAGATTCTTTGAACATCAGCTTGATGTTTTTCTGATCTCATTTAACACAATCACTTGTAATATCTGTTCAATTTGCACAAATGGGAAAATGGGACCAAAAATGGTATGTTTTCAGGGTTGTTTAACTTCCCACCATAGCCTAAGCATGAAAAGGCACGATTGCAAACTGCTTATTCACTAAAGAACTGCATTTCTCAAGGGCAGCCATATACACGTATTCCCCTGCTTGTATCCACTTCAGGGGTTGCAGGCAGGTCTTGTTTGACTGTTTTGCAACCACAGAGAAAATGCTCCTGCATCCCTGCTGAGGGGTTCTGTGTTAGATCAGAGCACGGGCCACCTTGCCCTGAGCTGGAGGAGAAGATTAGGGAGGTTTAGACATCAATTACCCATCTTCAGTAGCCTTTTAGACTTGCAGTAGCCTTTTAGAAGCCACTACCACTTTCCTTTACATTTTAAAGCTTTGGCCTCTTTAAATTATGTTTGGTTCATTTTGACAGGCTTGTAAAGGGCGTCGTTTTGTGCTGGAGCCCCAGCAAAAGAAAAGAGGAATGTCTGCCTAGCAGCGTCCTTCGACCTGATGCCCTTAGTTGCTTTGGACTTCAGCTCACATCTGCCCTGACCAGCATTCTGGAGGCTGTAGGCCAGAGCATATGGAGGGTTCCAGACTGGGCAAGGCTGGTACTTAGTATAGGGCTGCTTTTGGATACCAAAATCCCCTTTTCCAGGTTGCCCAAGTGGACACTGGAACACATTCCTCTGGTGCAGCCTCAAGAGGAATCACTGGCAAGGTGAAGACAGTGAGTTGTAGCTAAGGAGTCTGCCTGCAACATCTGTCAGGAGAATTGATTCTCTTTCACAACCCCTCCAGTCTTGCTCGGAAGGTCGGGTGAAACTTTCAGAGAAGATTTTGGTGTGCGGAGGATTCCGTTATCTCTAATAATGAGGGATTTAAAGAAAAATGGTTGGGAACGTTCTTTGAGTTTAATGTATTGCTTCTTTTGCAGCATCTCTGGCCACTATTAAATTGCCAAAGAGGGAGGAAATACCTCCCCAAAAGAGCTGACAAATAAGGGCATAAGCCAGTTTATCAGTAGAGTTGCCAGTTTAGAAGTAACGGCTGTAGTTTCACTTGAAATGCAGTCCATCTCCCCCTAGTGGAGAAGACTGTGGCCAGATAGCCTGTGTGATTTCCACTCAAGTCTGTTGTCCAGGCGCTTGCACTGATGGGCAGCTTCAAGGCCCATCTGATCGTTCTTTTACCTTTCAGGTTGGGGACACACTTCATAGGCTTCAAACTACCTTCAGCTTTTCCCCAAGGAATTAGTTGTGGGTTTCTTTGGGAGGAAAAGCTCCACCAGAAACACGGCAGGAGATCCTATGACTTGTGAGTCTGAATGAAGATAATGCAGAGGGAATTTTGAGGTTTGAAGCCCAACAGAATCAGGATGCTGTTCTTGTCAGTGATAATTTCCTGTGATAATAGCACGAGAGCTAGATGAAGTCATGAGAGGCCCTGGGGCTAGCAGCCTACAGTGACCTCTGCTGTGGCCCTTATACTGACCTCTCACATGACGTTTGTGCAAACACAGTCAAAAAACATAGGACAATGCAACATATTTCACTACATATTTTAGTGACAATCACCTTTCATGCTTTCTTGGAAGCAAAAGACCAGCTTCTCTTTCATGGTGGATGACATAACACAAGTTTCCCCTTCTATGGCATGTGCACGTGCATGCACATACTCTAGAGACACATACTGATTCACTTAGACACCAACCAAAGACAGCACACGCAAATACAGCTGGTGCTGGCCCAGGATATTTTGTGGTTTAAGGAAAGGCCTCTCATTTCTCAGTGGATGATCTGGGCCAGTTACTACCTCTCAGCCCAGCCTAACACACAGGGCTATTGGAAGATAAACTAGGAAAATCATTAGTTTGTGGAAAACAGGCAAAACATAGAGTACAACAATGTAAATAATTCTATACCTGAGAGCCATAATCTTACTGTAAGACTGTAAGAGCCATAGTAAATCCCCCTAGCCTGTAAATTCTGTGCATCTGTGCATTGCACTAGTATTGTGCATCCCTTTACATGCACATACAGTCGAGACAAGTTTTCCA